CAGGAACACTAAAGGGATCATTAGGCATGACCAGGTACAGTGCAAAATAAGATGACACATACGAGTATGTAGACCCTGGGTCAAATAACACTGAAGCATCTCTATCACAAACCAGAACGGTACCTGTAATAACTGCATCGGAAGCCTCAGCCTCGAGCCTGGCTGGAAGAGCATAACATTGGGGCTGGGCCCCACCACCCTGAACCACATCTCTGGGACGATCTGACGCTGGCTGGCCTCCATCTCTAGCGGTCTGAGCTCCACCTCTAGCACCTCTACCTCCACTTCTAGCACCTCTACCCCCACCTCTAGCTGGCTGGGCGGCCTGTGGGACATCTGGTGCCTGAACCATAGCACGGGAACCCTGATGCGGAGAACTGCTCGAAGCTCGAGGGCAATTCCTAGCAATGTGCCTCGTGTCGCCAAAAGTAAAACAAGCCCTCGGCTGCTGGGGCTGACAACCCTGGAAACTCTGAAGCGGTGGTGCATTGATAGGAGCTGGTGGTGCACTGTAGAACTGCTGATCAGAATACTGCATCCGAGAACCACGGCCACTTGAAGCGCCGTGAGAAACCTGGAGTGCTGATTGAAAAGGCCTAGGAGGATGGCCTCTACCGTACAAATCTCTACCTCCAGACGAGGTACCACTGAATCTGCCCGAATGACGGGGCCTCTTGTCTGCCCCATGACCACCCCCCTATGATAGTACCATCTCAACTCTCCGGGCCACATTGGCCGCCTCCTGGAAAGATATCTCACTCCCAGTCTCTCTAGCCATATGGAGACGAATCGGCTGAAAGAGTCCATCAATAAACCGTCTCACTCTCTCCCTCTCAGTGGGAAGTATAATAAGAGCATGGCGAGCCAAATCTATGAATCTGGTCTCGTACTGGGTGACAGTCATGGATCCCTGCTGGAGGCGCTCAAACTGCCTCCGATAGGCCTCTCGCTGTGTAATAGGGAGAAACTTCTCCAGAAATAGCTGCGTGAACTGCTCCCAGGTCAAGGCTGGCGATCCTGCTGNGTAGATGAGGAAGCGCGTGTTCTCGCCATCTGCGAAAGAACACAGTAGAAGTTCAATTAGCATTGAGAAACCAAACCGCGCGACAAGAAAGAATAAATGTGAAGTTTTTCCTAACTCGGTAGCCTCTGGGGGATAAATACAGATGTCTCCGTACCGATCCCTCAGACTCTACTAAGCTTGTCCGTGAATTGTGAGACCTATGTAACCTAGTGCTCTGATACCAACTTGTCAAGATCCGGATTTCCCACCCTCGGGAGTCGTGATGGCGCATACTCGTAGAAGCTAGGCAAGCCACGAAATTTAGAAATATTTAACCTTTTATTTTTTTTTATACTTTTAATTACTTGTAGTAACAGGTGATAAGCAGTAAAATAATAGCGGAAGACGAAAATTAAGCAGAAGACGTAGACAAATATAATACCAAAATCGATACGAATAGCCAACATATGTCTCTACCCAGAAACCGGTGTCACAACATTCACAGACTGTCTATGATTACTACATACAAATGTCTGAAATAAAGAAACTCAGTCTGTCTCAGATACAAGTGATAACAGAACATAATAGTAGATAGAAGAGACGCCGGGCCTGCGGACGCCTGCAGGACTACCTCAGGATCTCTGTGGACTGAATGCTGGCTCCCACGCTATGTCCCAATGCTGCTCTGGTATCTGCACAGAGTGCACAGTGTAGTATCAGCACAACCGACCCCATGTGTTGGTAAGTGCCTAGCCTAACCCCGGCGAGGTAGTGACGAGGCTAGGACCAGACTCCAGATAAACCTGTGCAGTTATATATATGTACAGCGGAAAAATAAACTAGAATAAACAATTAAAGCTGGGAAGGGGAAACATGCTTCGGGGAATAACAGATAAAATAGAATCTCAAGAGAATTATCAGGAAATCAAAATTCAACTTCTAACAAGGATAAGGAAAACAAGGCAGATTTCACTCTTAGTTCACATCTTGTTGCAGGCGTGCAACCCGATCCCATTTCTCATATCTTGTGGTAGGCGTACGACCCGCTCCCATTTCATTATATCTTATGGTAGGCGTACCACCTGCTCCCATTTCATTATATCTTGTTGTAGGCGTACCACCCGCTCCCATTTTATTATATCTTGTGGTAGGCGTACCCCCCACTCCCATTTCGTTAAATCTCGTGGTAGGCATACCACCCGCTCCCATTTCATTAAATCTTGTGGTAGGCGTACCACCCGCTCCCATTTCTTTAAATCTTCTGGTAGGCGTACCACCCGCTCCCATTTTATTAAATCTTGTGGTAGGCATACCACCCGCTCCCATTTACAAGACAACACAAAATCACAAGGAATCCCGGCAAGGGAACAAAAGCAATATAATAATTTCCTGACAAGGGAACAACAATATCAAGACAAACATCCCGGCAAGGGAGAATCAGCTATAACCAATCCTAACTAAACTCTTACTCAGCTCAATTAGTACCAATACTCAATCATAAATAAAATCGACGAAAATAAACTAAATCTTTGCTCAATATCGAGAATCATCAATTTAAAGCATCCATAGTAACATTTAAGAACACAACAACTATCAATTCAAGACTCACGGTCATGCTCGACACTAATGTATAGATACTCGTCACCATGCCTATACGTCGTACTCAACAAGAAGCAATTAGCAAATAGGACACAACTCCTAATCCCTCAAGCTAAGGTTAGACCGGACACTTACCTCGAACTTCCACGGCCAAATCAATCCTCAAACACCGTCTTTCCTTTCGAATTCGGCTCCAAATCAATTGTATCTAGACATAATCGACTTAATAACATCAATAAATGCCAAACAATCCAATTCCAATTTAATTACTTTCCAATCATTCTTTCCAAAAATCCAGAAATTGACCCAGGCCCGCTTGGTCAAAATACGAGGTTCGGACCAAAACCCGATCACCCATTCACCCACGAGCCCGAATATATCATTTATTTTGAAATCCGACCCCAAAACAAGGTCAAATTCCCAAATAATCAAAAAGCCCTAACTCTACCCAATTTTCAAATTTTCTACCATTAAAACCCTAAGATTATTGATAAAAGTTGATGAAAAATATTAGATAGTTGAAAGAAATCAGTTAATGAATACTTGTGATTTGGGAAGAAAATCTCTTGAGAAAATCGCCCTAGTTCTTCTATTTTTGTGAAAATCTGAAAGAAAAATCGCTGAAGTTATGTTTTTAAAAGACTCACTACCCGACTTCTGCATCTGCAACTTGTGGATCGCATCTGCGCAACCGCACGTGCGGAAAAATGGTCGCTTCTGCGGAAATGACTTGGCCTACAGGGGCCGCATCTGCGAGGGATAAATCCGCTCCTGCGGAACCGTTTCTGCGGAACTTTACCCGCATCTGCGAAGACTTCCGCACCTGTGATGCACTTCTCGCACCTGCGAGTCTGCATCTGCGGCCCAAGAACCGCAAGTGCGGTTACACTAGAACTGGTGCAACAATTGTATTTTTCCTAAGTTTAAACACCCCGGAACCTACCCGAAACTCACCCGAGCCCTCGGGGCTCAAAACCAAACATACGTACTAACTCAATAACATCATACGAACTTATCCGTGTGATCAAATCGCCAAAATGACCTCAATAACAATGAATTAAACCTCAAAATCAAACAATTTCCTCAAACTTCTTAAAACATCAATTTTTGCAATTTAGGTCCGAATCACGTCAAATGACATCCGTTTTTCACCAAATTTCACAGAATCATCTTAAATAATATATAAGACCTGTACCGGGCGCCGGAACGAAAATACGGACCCGATACCAACATGTTCTTATCAAATTTTATTTCAAAATCCTTTAAACAATTTCAGAAAACAATTTTCTTTAAAAATTTATTTCTCGGGCTTGGGACCTCGAAATTTGATTCCGGGCATACGCCCAAGTCCCAAATTTTCTACGGACCCTCCGGGACCGTCAAATCATGGGTCCGGGTCCGTTTACCAAAAATGTTGACCGAAGTCAACTTAAATGCATTTTAAGTTAAAATTTCAATATTTCACAGATTTTTCACATAACAGCTTTCCGGCTACACGCCCGGACTGCGCACGCAAATCGAGGTGAAGATAAAAGAGGTTTTTAAGGCCTCAGAACACATAATTTAATTTAAAAGCAAGTGATGAAAGGGTCATCACAGCTCCTAAATCCCAAACCACCTCACGAAGCTATCCGAACCATCAGAATTCACATCCGAGACCCTCTACATATTAGTCAACACCCGGTTGACTTTTCCAACTTAAGCTTACTCAAAAGAGACTAAGTGTCTCATTCCTCTCCAAAACCACTTTGAACCCGAACCAACCAACCCGATACCACATAATACAACTGAACAACACATAAAGAAGCAGAAATGGGGGACACAAAGCGGTAACTCATGAAAAGACCGGCCGGGTCGTTACAAGCTAGAAGACTCTTTTATTTACTATTGAAAAGAAGAATCAAAGGATTCATAGAGATTGTAACACTCAAATTATTTAAAATAAAATACTACGATTGTTGCAATATTTTCGGTCTTGATTATATTTTTTTGATGCAATTTTATTGTCTACAGTGCATACCCAACCGCTTAAATTAAAAATAGCTGGCGAATATAATATATATGAATAATCATTATATGATATGTGTTTGTATACCGACTAGAAAAAGTAAACAATAAATTCAACCGACTATTCGTGTATAGATCCCAAACTCAAAATATATATTTAAAAGAATAAACTAAAAGTACTATCAACTTAGAAACTTTTCTTTTCATAATGCAAAAGATTCACTTTTTACAAGAACCATGTAAAAAAAACTCATTCAAATTTAGAGAAGAAAAACATCGGTTATTTCTTCTGGACCAAGGGAGTGGAAAGTGAGTTCATCTAATGACCCAAAAAAAATTACTAGTAGTACCTACATTTAGTTACATTTTTCCAGCGCTCACGTCACAGCCCTTCATTGGAATTTGATGAATTTATAAGGTGTTAAAATATTGAACCTTACATTGAAATATCAGTCTACTACCAAGTTCAGTTGCATATCACAATTTCTAATACATGGCACAAATTTCTACATGTTTAAATAATGTTTATATTTTTACTTCCAACATTTCAATAGAACTTGCCCGAAAAGCATATGCATTCAAGGAAATTCATTTCAGAATGTCTTGCAATGGAGGGAGGATTACAAGTCTCTTTTAGCTTCTGCACTTGGCCATTATTCTTCCCTTTCTCTTCAGAATTAACTACTTTAACCTCGCAGAATTCAGGGGCATTCTTTTTAACGTATTCTCCTTTACCTTGTCCCTTCCTCACTCGCCTGAAATGGATTGGTCAATTTCATCTTTTCGCGTAAAAATGATACTAGTACAACTTAAAAAGCTGTTGTGGAGAAGTATGTTTACCTTGCGGAAAGAGCTTGTTTAGATCCAACGACTAGACTGGTAATGTTGACAATAGGAATTAACTCAAGTAATGCATTAGCTGTTGAATTACTCTCCACAAGCATAGTATCAACTGGCACCTAGCAGCCAAAGTTAAATCAAGAAATGTTAGTATGAAACAATGTTTATGAATTATATTGGGTGTGGAGTTTCCAATTAGTTGCACTCACTTTGGCATCATTGCATAGGCGGATGTATTTCTCCAAGACATTCTTCCTCTTGTTATTCTCTTCATTCTCGTAGATTTGCACCTGCTCTTGGCTCAATTGGCTTCTTTTTAACTTCCCAACTATATATTACACAAAATTCAACTTAGCAACGTCCATTAGCAAGTCGTCTCATTTTGCTCTCTTTTCCCCCCCTCTCTTTGTAGGCAGAGGCGGACCCAGAATTTTTACGTGTCGGGAGCACATTATTCTGCTCAACCAGTGGCCCCTAAAGGCTTTTAGTGTTCAGGGTGCCAATTGTTAAATTAACCAATTTCAAGGTATATATGTATATATATATACAGGATTTCGGCCGAAATTTACGGAGTCCGGTGACCCCTCACCCATACACATGGGTCCGCCTCTGTTTGTAGGTAACAAGAAACAAGAAAATTGAACCAGTATATTCAATATACTTTTCCTGTTCTTGAATTCCCTGCTTTTTTTGAGTTAATTGACATGCCCCTTATGTGATGTCCTGGATATACCGTCTTGTTTGTGATATAGGTAAAACTAGATGAATTAAAAAACTGAAAAAGAATAAAAAAGAAAAAGATATTGAGTGGAGAAACAGACAGGAAATTGAATTCCTTAACAACCACTCATATCCTTTATATGTGTGCTTCTGTTATTTCTATTTATAGAGTTACCTGGAGTAGGGATGTAGTTAATGGGAGGAAAAATGTGCACAAGGCAGATGCGAAATTCTGGGCAAATGGCATAATCAAGTGCCCACTGAAGAACATGCAAGTCATTTTTCCCAACAGCTACATAAATATCATTAATTTCTGCTGCATCTATGTTGCTTATTGTACTATTGATATCTTCTTCAATCTCTTCGATTTCACCAGACATATCTTGAATTATAGCAACTAATAATGATGCTAGTTGTTCTCTTTTACTAGCCCCTCATCTTTGTTTTCATCTTTCATCTCTTCCAGTAGTCCAAATTGTGGACTTAAAGTATGTGTGGAATGGTCGTTGCTATCAATGACACCAAAAGTTTGATTCTATTTTGTCACATTGTGAGTAAAAGAAACTTTGTATTTCTCCTTAGTAGCATACTGCCCTCGTATTCTCCCCTTGGACGGAATTCATTACCGAAGCATCTGGTCTTTTTCTTTGGACATAAACCTTTTTTCACGTGGGAAAGTTTTCTTGGACCATAACATGATGTTCTGACAGTGCAATTCAATTTCTAATGTTAGCAATCTTTGCCTTTTTCTTTCACTTACATTCTCTTACAGTACTTTCCATACCTAAAGCATCACTTAACTCTGTTTTTTAAGACATCTAGAAGAGTTAAAACTTGTTCTTTAAATGCAGAAATATACATGTGGTGGGAGCTTTGAAATTGTTTAGCCAAGATTGGTTGATGAAATAGTAACAAGTAAGCCTTGGTTTTTGTTGGACAGTACACGCCCAATAAACCACCGGCCCAGTTATAGCTGAAGTAGCATATTTGTACATAATATACTCTTACATGTAATAGACACATTTTTGTAATAGCTAGCCACATTTTACTTTTACTTGATAGCCACCCCTACTCGTATATAAACAGAAAGATGGTTCTGGAAAAAAAGATAAGAAAGACATTTTCATTTCAACAAGATCAAATATTTTTCTCTCTCTTCGTCTCTTATTTCTTCTTCTCTGATAATGGAGTTTGTACAATAATCGAGCTTTTCTTCACTTAACATGGTATCAGAGCCGACGATCGGTATTAGCTCTCTTATCCGAGTCGAGCGATGTTACCCTCGACCCTAGTTTTACAAGTTTCGCTTTCACGTACAAACCCTAATATTCCAAAATTTGGGGTTTTTACATATTAATGTGGATGTTGTGGTCGATTTCTTCAAAGATGAAGCTTTTCTGAGTTTATTCATGGAGTTTTGACTGGATCTCAAAGTCTCGACAGGTTCTCACCATTTCTGAAGAAGAGCGGTATCATCTACTCTCACTCCTATTTGTTACTGTATATATGTGATTCTGGTTTGAACTTTCTTAGAAATATCATTTGATTTTAAGAAATACTAGCTGCTATCATGACCATAGATGCTGACACTACGTCTTCTTCCATTTCATCTGAGGGTTTTGCTACTTTGAGTCTAGATCCTTCTCACCCTTCATCCGTCAGATAGTCCTGGTACTCATTTAGTTTCTCCTCCGTTTGATGGTACTTATTTTGTTGCATGGAGGAAAAGTATGCTTGTTTCTCTGTTTGCCAAAAATAAATTGGGCCTGATTAATGGTCGGCCTGATATACCTTCAGTAGATTCTCCTTATTATCCCTTTTGGGAAAGGTGCAATGACATGGTGATCGCTTGGATCATCAATTCTCTTTCTAGGGATATTGCTACCAGTGTATTGGGGTACGACACTGCTAGGGAAATCTAGTTAGATATAAATGAAAGATTTGGATAGTCTAATGGGTCTAAATTCATTCAGATTCAGAGGGAAATTGGAACTATCTCTCAAGGGACTTCAGATATTGCATCTTATTTTACTAGGTTGCGAAGTCTTTGGGATGAAATGAGTACTGCATATGTGGGTCTTGTTTGTTCTTATGGTGCCTTACCCAAATTCATTGAAGAACTCAAGCTCTTTGGGTTCTTAGCTGGCCTTAATGAATCTTACTCTACAGTTAAGAGTAACATTCTTATGATGTCTCCACTCCCTACTGTTAGTAGAGCTTATTCTATGTTAAAACATAATGAGAAATAGAGGGAATCTTCTCACACACCAGGCTTCTCCAATGAGTCAGTCTCTTTCTCTGCATCTTCTACACCTTCCGGTAATCAGAAAAGTTTTAATCAAAGGGTTCAGTTTGAGTCAAGAAAGCCTGAGCAAGGTGTGGGAGTATCATGCAAGTATTGTAAAAAGTCAGGGCACACCATTGAGAAGTGTTACAAGCTGCATGGGTTCCCTCCTGATTTCAAGTTCACACGGTCTAAAAGGTCTACCTCATGTGTTCATGCTAACACTTCATCCATTGAGTCTTCAGTTCAAGCTCCTCTTTCCCAACCTGGGACTTCATCTCCTCATGGTTTAAGCCAGGAGCAATATCAACATCTTGTCTCTCTTCTATAGCAAGCAAATATTTCTCCTGGTACCAACAACAATGGTTCTTCTGGAGAAACTTTTGGCTTTGCTAATTTTGCAGGTTTGTTGAAAATTTCTGTGGTTAATTCTGTTGATTTTCATGTTTGTGCATTTTCTCAGTTAAGTGATGATACTTGGATTTTAGATTCTGGGGCTACTAACCACATGACACCTCATAAGCAGTTTCTTCACAATTTAAAACCATTACCTAAGCCATTTTTAATCACTCTTCCTAATGGATATAAAGTCAAGGTTGTTTCAATTGGCTCTTTACACCTTAGGGCTGATATAACCCTGCATAATGTTCTTCTTGTGCCTCTTTTCAATTTAACTTGATCTCAGTATATCAACTTCTTCTTCAACTTAATTGTCTTGCAATACTCACCATTTCTACTTGCTATTTACAGGGCCCTTCTTTGAAGAGGCCACTGGAAATTGGTAAAGCTACTAATGGTCTGTATTCCTATGTCAGTCTCATCTGCTGCTTACAGTGTTTCTGATTTTACTGCATCTTCTTCTCCTGCTTTTACTAATCACTCTTGTAATATTTCTACTTCTGCGCCTAATCCTGTAACTCCTCTTCCCCTTATTCCCCATTGTAATTCAATTTCTAGTATCAGTAAAACTGGTCTGTTTTGGCACTAAAGACTAGGCCACATACCTTTAGCTAGAATGAAGTCTATTCCATTTGTTTCTAGCAAGGTTACTTCTAAACAATATTTTATTTGCTCTATTGTCCTATGGCTAGACAACAAAGATTACCATTTCCTGATAGCTCCATCCACAAATCTGCTCTTTTACAATTAGTACACATTGACATTTGGGGACCCTACAAAACTAATACCTATGATAGTTTCAGATATTTCTTGACTTTAGTGGATACTTTTACAAGAGTCACCTGGACTCATCTCCTCTCATGCAAGGGTAATGCTTTGTCTGTTAATAAAGCTTTTACTTCTATGGTAATCACACAATTCCACACTTCAGTTCAAAGTTCTAGATCTGATAATGCTTTTGAGCTTGGTCTAGTTCTGAGGCCAAATCCTTCTTCTCTTCCCAAGGTATTTTACATCAGACCACCATTCCACACACCCCACAGCAAAATGGGGTTGTAGAGAGAAAACATAAATATTTACTAGAAACATCTCGAGCTATGTTGTTTTAATCTAACTTACCCTCCAAATATTGGGGTGATTGTGTCTTAACTGCTACTTACCTTGTCAATAGATTCCCTTCTACTGTTTTGAATAATATCTCACCTTATGAAAAACTTCATGGTCATCCTCCTTCCTATGATCATCTTAAGTCTTTTGGTTGCTTATGGTTTGTCACCTCACCTAAGTTTGCGAGGGATAAATTCCAATCTAGGGCCTTTTCTTGCATCTTTCTTGGTTATCCTTGTGGAAAGAAAGAATACAAACTCTTAAATTCATCCACTCATTCCATTTTTTACTCTAGGGATGTTGTATTTCATGAGTTTGTCTTTCCTTATGCTTCCCCTTCTTCTCCTATTTTCACAGCTCCATCTCCTGAATTTGTTGACATTCTTTCTCCTACCCCTTCTGCCCCATCAGTGTCCACTTCCTCCTCTTCTCCAAGTTCTGCTCCTGTTTCTACTCCTCTTCCCAATCTTTCCTCCTCTGTTGTACCCTGTGCTCCTCCACCCCTTAGGAAGTCTCTTAGGGTGAGTAATCCTCCTCCCTATCTTTCTGATTATGTCTGCTCAAATATTCAGTATTTTGCCCCTCCTAATTCTAAGCTATCCACTGTTGAACTGCACTTGCATGAGCCTCAGTTTTACCAACAGGTTGCCTCCCATCCTGCTTGGCAAGAGGCAATGCTAAAGGAATTTGAAGCTCTTGAGGCTAATCACACTTGGTACATAATCCCTCTTCCTCCCAACAAGAATCCCATTCCTTGCAGATGGGTATATAAAATCAAGCAGAAGTCTGATGGTTCTATTGAGAGGTACAAGGCTAGGTTGGTGATTAGAGGGGATACTCAAAAAGAGGGAATTGACTACAATGATACCTTTTCCCCCGTAGTTAAATTCACTACCATTAAATGCCTCCTCTCCCTTGCTGCCAAGAAGGGTTGGACAGTCTACCAACTAATAATGCTTTTCTTCATGGGGATCTTAATGAAGAGGTATACATGAAAGTTCCCCCTGGCTTGCAGGTTTCTGTTTCTTCTACACAGTCTTCCTCTACTTCTCCTCTAGTTTGCAAGCTCAAGAAGTCTTTGTATGGCCTCAAGCAGGCTTCTAGACAGTGGTTCTCTAAACTGTCTGAAGCTTTGCTCTCTAGAGGCTTCATTTCAAGCAAAAAGGATTATTCCTTATTCACAAAGTCTGTTGTTGGTTCTCTCACTGTGCTGGCTGTATATGTTGATGATATTTTGTTATCAGGGGACGACATTTCTGAGTTGAACAGTGTCAAAACCTTCCTAGATGCACAATTTAAGATTAAAGATTTGGGTTCCATTCATTACTTCTTGGGTTTGGAGGTCACTCACACTTCTCAGAGATTTGTCATGAGCCAACAGAAGTTTACTTCTGATTTGCTAGCTGAATTTCAGTGTCAAAATTTCTCCTTAGTGTTGACACCTCTTGATTCTTCCATCAAATTGGTTGCTAACATGGGAGAACCATTATCTGATCCCAGCACTTATCAGAGGATCATTGGGAAGTTGAATTTTCTTCAACATACCCGACCTGATATTGCTTTTTCTCTGCAACACCTTATCCAATTCTTGCAGGCTCCTCAAATTCCTCATATGTTGGCTGCTATCCATGTTCTTAGGTATTTGTCTGCTGCTCCTGATCGTGGTATCTTACTCTCCAACTCTTCTGATTAGTCTCTCCTGGCCTATGCTGATTCTGACTGTGCTGCTTGTGCCCAGTCTCGACGGTCAGTTGCTGGTTATTACATCACACTTGGTGGCTGTCCTATATCTTGGAAGAGTAAAAAGCAGCCACCATTTCATTATCTTCTGCTGAGGCAGAATACCGTGCCTTGCGCATGGTTGTGGCTGAAATTTCTTGATTGATAAGGATTCTCACTGACCTTGGGCTGTTGATATCCGCTCCTGTCCCTATTTATTATGACAGTCAGGCAGCACTTCATATTGCTCGAAATCTTTTTTTTCACGAGTGTACGAAACACGTCGAGATTGATTGCTATTATGTGCGCGACAGTCTGCATTCTGGCCTGGTTTCATTTTATTTTGTTCCCAGTTCTGAACAAATGGCTGACATATTAACCAAGTCTCTTGCTGGCCCTCTCCATCATTATCTATTTGGCAAGCTTGGTGTGCTCTCACCCTCAAGCTTGAGGGGGGGGGGTATTGGATAGTACAAGCCCAATAAACCACCGGCCCAGTTATAGCTGAAGTAGCATATTTGTACATAATATACTCTTACATGTAATAGACACATTTTTGTAATAGCTAGCCACATTTTACTTTTACTTGATAGCCACTCCTACTTGTATATAAACGAAAGATGGTTTTGGAAAAAAGATAAGAAAGACATTTTCATTTCAACAAGATCAGATATTTTTCTCTCTCTTCGTCTCTCATTTTTTCTTCTCTGATAATGGAGTTTGTATAATAACCGAGCTTTTCTTCGCTTAACAGTTTTAGGATCCTCTATCTATATCAGCCCCACGGTCTCCTTAATGTTAGAAACTAGACAGATCCCATATTATAGGATGAGATGATAATGCAGCCATAAATTTAGCTATAAGCCACAAGACTATACAAGTCTTGAGTGATAAATTCACATCTTCTTTTGCTCATTTATATCTATCGATAGTACTTTCTTCTTCTCATACCACATTAAAATGTAAAACTAAAAGTGTTTGTCACACATGTCACCAATCTAACAGATCCCACAGTGAAGTGCTAGTTGAGGTCAGTCAAGTGAAAACCATTCATTTTGCAAGTGAAAAGTTTTCGAGTTACTCGACATATGACCTTGAGAACCTGCAATTGATAGCCAGCCTTCCTTTGTTTTTTTTTGTAATTAACAAGGTATGGAAGAATCAAATTGGTATATTATTCCATGTAGTGATACATATATATACATGTACATCAGGTGCTAACTAAGGAAAGAAATAAAAGAGATTCCTACAAATCTGCTATCTATATATGGGTTATGTACACTACTAAGAAACAGTCTATGTTCATTGTGTAAGTTGTCTATGTTCATTCTGTAACACTCCCCCTCAAGTTGGGGCATATATATTGATCATGCCCAACTTGTTACAAAGGTAATCAACTCGAGTTCCATTCAATGCTTTAGTGAACAAATCAGCTAGCTACTCTCCCGTCTTCACGTAGCCAGTAGAAATCAAGTTCTCTTGAATCTTCTCACGAATAAAATGATAGTCAACTTCAATATGTTTGGTTCTTTCATGATACACTGGATTTGAGGCAATATGGAGTGCAGCTTGATTATCACACCAGAGTTTTGATGTAGTAGGATGCTTCAACCCAATTTCAGTTAAAAGGTGATGTATCCATATTATCTCACATGTTGATTGTGTCATAGCTCTATACTCGGATTCTGCACTGGACCTAGATATAACATTTTATTTCTTACTTCTCCATGATACCAAGTTTCCACCAACAAATACACAGTAACCAGTAGTAGATCTTCTATCAATCTCGTATCCAGCCCAGTCTGCATCTACAAAACAATCAATGCGAGAATGACCGTGATTGCTGTATAATATGCCAAGTCCAGGAACTCTTTTTAAGTAACATAGGATCTGCTCCAAAGCCTCCCATTGTTTAACTGTGGACGCGGACATGAACTGGCTAACCATAATCACTGCAAAAGTAATATCTGCACGAGTCACAGTGAGATAATTTAATCTTCCAACTAACCTCCTGTATCTATCTGGATCATTAAATGGATCACCTTCATCTTTCATAAGTTGCAAATTAGGAACCATTGGAGTAATGCAAGCCTTGCCAGGCAGCTTACTAGTTTCTGCTAGTAAGTCAAGAATATACTTTCTGTGAGATAGAAAAATTCCCTTCTTGCTTCTAGTTATTTCTACTCCCAAGAAGTATTTCAGTTGTCCCAAGTCTTTTGTATGAAACTTAGTATGCAAGAAAGACTTGAGAGAAGAGATTACTACATAATCACTCCCTGTGATAACAATGTCATCCACATATACAACAAGGAGAATAGATCTAGCTGTTGATTGCTTGTAGTAGACAGAATGACCACATTTGCTCTTTTCAGCCCAAATTCTTGAACTGCTTCACTAAATTTTCCAAACCAAGCCCGGGGACTCTGCTTCAAGCTATATAAGAATTTCTTCAAATGGCAGACCTTGCCATACCCTCCCTGAACAACAAAACCAGGTGGTTGCTCCATATATACCTCTTCATGGAGATCACCATGAAGAAAAGTATTCTTAATATCCAATTGATGCAAAGGTCAATTCTCAGAAGCAGCTAGAGAAATGAAAAAACGAACATAAGTAAGTTTGGCAACTGGAGAGAAGGTGTCTGAATAATCCACCCCATAAGTCTGAGCATACCCCTTAGCCATAAGTCTGGCTTTAAGTCTCGCCACAGAGCCATCAGGATTAACTTTAACCGTGAATACTCACTTGCATCCCATTGCTTTTTTTCCACTAGGTAAATCCACTAAATCCCAAGCGTGGTTTTTCTCTAAGGCATGTATTTCCTCGAGCATTGCTTCAGACCATCTATGATGATTCAAAGCCTCCTTCACCGTTTTGGGTATAGAAACAGAGCCTAGAGACACAATCAAAGATCTAGATGCAGGAGAAAAGTGGTCGTAGGAAACAAAATTAGCAATAGAATATGTGGATTTGCAAGTACGTATACCTTTGCGAAGAGCAATTGGAAGGTCAAGGTTTTCTGGAGGGTCAGGTGGAGGCAAATATGATGATGAAGGAACTAATGACGAAGGAACTGGTGCAGAACATGTATCATTCGTCTGTTGCCTCCGTGAGTAAACTTGAGCAATTGGCGGTCTTCCTAACACAGTTGGAGCAAGTGCTGAAGGCAGAATAGTGGATTGGTGCTCGATAGAACTAGGAGATGGAGGAACATCATCTCGTTGTTCTGTCAAAGTACGAGTAACCTGATATACTAACCACTCATCTTCCTTCCCTGACTGGTAGAAATGGGGGTGCATAGAAGAATGGTGTAGTATATGAAAATGCCACATCAGTTGACACCAAATATTTGCCAAGTTCAGTAGAATAACATCGATACCCCTTTTGAAGGCGAGAATAGCCAAGGAAAACACACTTCAATGCCTTGGGATCTAACTTGGTAACAGATGGTCGAACATCTCGAACATAACACGTGCTTCCAAATACCTTAGGTTCCACCGAAAATAATTCCTTGTTTGGAAAAAGGACACTGTAAGGCACATTACCACCAAGCACAGTAGACGACATGCGATTAACCAGAAAGCAAGCCATAGAGACCGCATCAGCCTAGAACTATTTAGGAACTTTCATTTGGAACAAAAGTACCCGAGCTATCTCAACTAGATGCCTATTCTTCCTCTCAGCAACTCCATTTTGAGAGGGTGTATCAACACATGAAGACTGATGTAGTATACCATGGTATCTCATGTACGACTGAAATAACTCTGACATGTATTCTTTAGCATTATAACTCCTTAGAATACGCACCAAAGCGTTAAACGAATTTGAATACATGCTGTAATGGAAACTGAACTTCAATTACTTTACAGCCTATAGGCATGATATCTAATCATAGAGCTGATTTAGATCCTATAGGCATGGCTTCTAATTGTGTGAAAGTAAAGCATGCAGAATTCATTTAAACCAAAGCAGATCCTATAGTCATATTATCTAACAAACACATTTTTGAATCGAAATAGACCCTATAGGCATGTTATCTACCCGATTTTACCCACAATATGCAACTACCCACCCCTTTTTCACTAATCACCCCAATGTTTGTTTAAAAATAATTATTACAGACTAAGAACTGAATATAAATTACATAAATAAAATAGAAGCTACGCTATAGGGAGCCTGAAGCAGGCCCAAAATAGTCATGGTGTGCCAAGCCTTTACTTATCTCAAATGCCCAAAGTTCCATAGCCCAATTCATGTCTAGGCGTGTCAGAGTTCCCTAAGGATCTCAAGGATCCCCGGAATTGCTCACACCCAGACTTTCCTCAAACAAAGACTGATTATGTGCAGTGTGGAAGTGCCGGCCCTGATATGCCAGAGTTCAGAGAGATCTCAAGGGTCTCAAGGCAGTACACATATCTGAGGGGCAGAACCTAATAATCTAAGAGTAATGTGAGAGTGCATAATGATTTGAAAGAGTTTGGTAAGCAGTAGCAAGAGGGCCTTAGGAAAGAAAAAGGATTCTCTGAAACCAGTACACAATTAGGGTGGAAAACAATTTGAGAAAACATGAAGAACATTTTTTCAGAGAGCAAGTCACATAACACACAATTTCAGAACAAACTTCACACAAACAGAAAAGGGTAGGGTACACTCAGAATGCACATTGGTGATTCAAACAAATACACAGATTCTTTATGGAATTGACAAGTTAGTTACAAAGTCATGTTGAGAACACACAGGTCTTAGACACAAATGGGATCTCATTTAAACTTAGATGAACAAACTAGACAAACACTTCATGAAGCAATCAAGGTTTTAGAAACATTAATCATATATAGAACAAGCAGAATTTAGTCATGCTGGGTGAGACAGTAAACACACAATGCAGCTCGGACATACTAGTGAGCAAATCTAAAGTAGGGTTGGCATGCTAAACAGTATAATAGCTATAACTTTTAACAGAATAAACTTAAACATGCTGAGTGATACAGTAATCTAGGCATGCTGATTGGTCATTGAATAGAATAGCAAATAGAATTGGAGATCACACCTTATGAACCGCAGCAATCCAAGAACAAACACATAGTTTTGGAATGGGAATTGAATCAGGACATACCAGTTAAGGAGAGAATACAGAGTATGGAGCAGAGATGGTGCAAGTAGCCAGCCTTGGCTTACAGCCGGCTGGATTAGTGAGTATTACAAATAACAGAAGGGAGGAGAGCTTTTGAGAGTGTGAGAGTGTAGATGAGCTAGCATTCGTGTCCAGAAGAGAGGAGCAAAGGAGAATATATATAGCAGTTAAGAGCATAGAAAATAAGGTAAAGGGAATCAACCCTTCTGCAATTAAGGGAGCCACGGAATCAATTATACATCAATTAGTAAAAAATTTCCTCAATTAAGGGTAATTAACCAACGGTAAAGGCAAAATATATTTAAGGAAAGAAGATCAAACGAGCAATTAGGGGTTAATTGAATAAGGTAAGAAAGCTAATCAAGATTGTAAATAAAGGGAATAGTCAGGAATTAGCACATAGGTCTTAACAAAACAAATTGATAAATCAAGAACCCAAATTAATCACTGATTTAAGGAGAAAAATATAGGTTTACCATGAATAGGCAAAAAATGAACATAGTCAGTAGAAAAGTTGAACCAAGAGCATCAATAGAGGCACATTAGGAGGAAGAACCACAAAAACCAAAGCATAGGGCAAAGTCACTACACAAGTAACCTAGGCAAACTTAGAATCAAACAATAATGTCGAAAATTAGGGCTTTTTGCATAAACGAGTTAGGGTTGAAGCAATCCTCATGAAATCAATTCAAAGCACACAAGAAACAGGAGATTAAACACTCAAAATTATCGAACGTTTTGGAGAAAAAAAAATTCGGGAAACCCTAGTCATAGAAGTCAAAACCCTGAAGTATGGTAGTGTTTTGAATCAGTCAGTAGTAGAGGAATAAGAGAAGCTTAAAGAAAAATCATAGAAACTTGAAAAACATTTCAAACATGTAGATATTCAAACAAAGAAACCAAAACATAGTGCTAAAATCAGTTAACGGTAAAGAAACAAGAGATTTTTAAAGAAAAGTTGTTGACAAACTCAGAATCTTTCCAGATCTACAAATATCGGGACGGGTTCATGGCCAAAGATTAGGGTTTTGAGGAGAAAGGGGAGGGGTAAAGAGAACCTGGTTTTGAACCAGAGATTTGAACCATGGAACTTCAATAGAAATAACTCGCAAACCATGGACGAACCCTTGAAAGGCTTTGAATGAGATCTGGACCAGATCTCTTCGAGGTTCTTCCACAAAAACCACATAATCGAACAACCAAGGGGATAAGAGACAAGTAGAGGCTTCGCACAGCCATAGGACGCCATAGATCGGATAGGGATTCCAAGGTTTAGGGTTGGTTTTGGGTGACGACAATTAGTGTTAGGGGTAGATTTCAGAGAGAACCAAAGAGGAAGGGATTCAAGGGCGTCTGTGTGTGAGAAATGGTTAGGGTTTAAGGGTCGTTTGAAACTAAAAAGGAAAGGGTGGATTGTGGCCGTTGATCTCTGTGATCAATGACCGAGAATGAAAGAGTTTGGGGCCGGATCGCGTACTAGGTTTGGGCTGGGTATATTTTGGCTAAAATTGGGCTGGGTATTGGGTCAAATTAGGATCAGAATTAAAAATAAAAATAGGGCCAGATTTTAAATAGCCACTTTTAATAACTAAATAATTTATAAAAATAATAAATGAGTACCAAAAATATCTTTGTGCACTAAAATAATTTAAAATAGTTATTTAACATTTTAAAATATAAAAGATCATTTTATGCATAAATAATGTAATTATACATTAGTAAGGGCTATTATTGCAAAGATGTGCAATTTAGCTTAAAAAT